CTGAGTCTTGCTCTGTTGCCCAGGCTGGAGAGCAATGGTGTGATCTCCACTCGCTGCAACCTCTGCCTCCTGGGTTCAAACAATTCTCCTGCCTCAGCCTCCCAAGTGGCTGGGATTACAAGCACCTACCACCACGTCCAGCTAATTTTTGTATTTTTAGTAGAGACAGGGTTTCACCATATTGGCCAGGGTAGTCTAGGACTCCTGACCTCCTGATCTGCCCACGTTGGGCTCCCAAAATGCTGGTATTACAGGCGTGAGCTGCCGCTCCCAGCCTTTTGTGCATTTTTTTATTTTGAATTCTAGTCTTTACTTTTGTTCCTTCATAAGAAACTGTGTATTATGCGTATTAATCCTACACTCACATTTTTAAAAATTGTTTTATTTTATTTTATTTATTATCATTAATTTTTGAGACGGAGTCTTGCTCTGTTGCCCTTACTGGATTAAGGAGGCCAGATCTTGGCTCACTGAAACCTCCCACCTCCCAGGTTCAAGTGATTCTCCTGCCTCAGCCTCCCGAGTAGCTGTGATTACAGGCATGCACCACCATGCTTGGGTAATTTTCTCTTCTTTTCTTTTTTATTTTGAGACAGAGTCTCAATCTGTCACCAGGCTGGAGTGCAGTGGTGCAATCTCGGCTCACTGAAACCTCCGCCTCCCAGGTTCAAGCGATTCTCCTGCCTCAGCCTCCCAAGTAGCTGGGATTACAGGCACCTGCCACCACACCCAGCTAATTTTTGTATTTTTAGTAGAGACAGGGCTTCACCATGTTGTCCAGATGGTCTGGATCTCCTGACCTCATGATCCACCTGCCTCAGCCTCCCAAAGTGTTGGGATTACAGGCGTGAGCCACCTTTTTTTTTTTTTTTGAGAAAGAGTCTCGCTCTGTCACCCAAAATGGAGTGCAGTGGCTGGATCTTGGCCCACTGAAACCTCTGCTTCCAGGTTCAGTAATTCTTCAGCCTCAGCCTTTCAAGTAGCTGGGATTACAGGCGCCCGCCACCATGCCTGGCTAATTTTTGTATTTTTAGCAGAGATGGGGTTTCACTATGTTGGCCAGGCTAGTCTCAAATTCCTGACCTCAGGTGATTGCCCACCTCAGCCTCCCAAAGTGCTGGGATTACAAGTGTGAGCTATTGCACCTGGCCATGCCTGGCTAATTTTTGTATTTTTTAGTAGAGACGGGGTTTCGCCATGTTGGCCAGGTGGGTTTAGAACTCCTGACCTCAGGTCATCCACCTGCCTCGGCCTCCCAAAGTGCTGGTATTACAGGAGTGAGCCACTGCATCCAGTCCCATATACACTTTACTTATTTATTTACTTATTATTTTGTGATGGAGTCTTGCTCTGTCGCCTAGGCTGAAGTGCAGTGGCTTGATCTTGGCTTATTGCAAGTTCAAGCAATTCTGCCTCAGCCTCCCAAGTTGCTGGGTCTACAGGTGTGCATCACCAGGTCCAGCTAAGTTTTGTATTTTTAATAGAGACAGTTTCACCATGTTGGCCAAGCTGATCTTGAACTCTTGACCTCAGGTGATCCCCCACCTTGGCCTCCCAAAGTGCTGGGATTACAGGTGTGAGCCACTGCGTCTGGCCCACATATCCACTTTAAACATTGCAAATATTTTCTTAGTGGGGGCATATACTTTATTTTCTATCCAGCAGTCTTAATGAACTCTTTTCTTGGTTTTTCATTGATTCTGCTAGGTATTCTACTGATTCTACTAGGTTTTCTACAAAGGTAATTATGTCCGATGTAAACAAAACAGTTTTACAGATTCCCTTTCAATCTTTACATCTTGTTGGATTTTTTGTTATTCTTTTTTTATTTTTTATTTTTTAGACGGAGTTTCGCTCTTGTTGCCCAGGCAAGTAGAATGACTCGATCTCATCCACCTCCTGGGTCCAAGCGATTCTCCTGCCTCAGCCTCCCAAACAGCTGGGATTACAGGCATGCACCACCACACCCAGCTACTTTTGTATTTTTAGTAGAGATAGGGTTTTTACTCTGTTCGTGAGACTGGTCTTGAGCTCCTGACCTCCAGTGATCCACTCATCTCAGCCTCCCAAAGTGCTGGGATTACAAGCATGAGCCACCACACTTGGCCCTAATTTTGTTGATTTCTTTTTCTTACACTATCACAGAA